ATTGGTGAGTTTAAGCCATTAACATTTAGGGTTATTATTGAGATATGGTTTGTTCTTCCAGCCATATTTGTTTATTAATGTTACTAAACCTGATTTGTTTTCCTCTTTGATTACTTTCCCCCCTTTACTGTCCTACCTCCCAATGTTGGTTTTCAATGTTATTTTCTACTTACTCTTCCTGTAATGTTTTTCCAAGGATTTTTTGAAGAGAAGGTTTTCTAGCTGTGAATTCTTTTAACTTTTGTTTATCGTGGAAGGTTTTAATTTCATCTTCCATCCTGAAGCTTCATTTCGCCGCATACACGATTCTTGGTTGGAACCCATTTTCTTTCAGTGTTTGAAATATGTTATTTCAGGATCTTCTAGCTTTCAGAGTCTGTGTTGAGAGATTAGCTGTTATCCTGATTGGTTTACCCCTAAATGTAATCTGCTTCCTTTCTCTTGTAGCTTTTAAAATTCTCTCCTTATTCTGTATGTTGGACATCTTCATTATAATGTGTCTAGGTGTGGATCTCATATGATTTTGCACATTCGGCATCCTGTAGGCTTCTAGGATTTGGGATTCTGTCTCATTCCTCAAGTCTGGGAAGTTTTCTCGTATTATTTCATTGAATAGATTATTTATTCCTTTGGTTTGGAGCTCTGTGCCTTCCTGTATCCCAATGATTCTTAAGTTTGGTCTTTTAATATTATCACATAATTCTTGGATGTTCTGCTCATGGTTTCTTAGCAGACTTGCTGAGCTGTCTACGTTCTTTTCAAGTTGAAATACTTTGTCTTCATTGTCTGATGTTCTATCTTCTAAGTGGTCTACTCTGTTGGTAGTATTCTCAATTGAGTTTTTAAGTTGGTTTATTGCTTCCTGCATTTCTAGGATTTCTGTTTGTTTGTTTTTATTACCTCTATCTCCCTTTGTAATTGATCTTTTGCTTCCTATATTTGTTTATGTAGTTCCTTGTCAATGTGATCTTTCATTGTCTGATTTTGCTGTTTCATATCTTCCTTGAGACTCCAGATCATCTGTAGCATGTATATCCTGAACTCTTTATCTGTCATTCCATCTGATGCAGCTATTGCCTCTTCTAAAGTTGAGTTGACCTGCATTGCTTGTGGTCCTTTCTTTCCTTGTCTTTTCATACTGCCGCTTGGTTAAGAGCCGGGCAGGTGTGGCGGCCGCTCACAGAGCGAGAGCCAGGCCTCCTGTGAGAGTCCAGATGGCAGAGGCCGCCTGCCGGTTTGGGCGGGGCAGGCCGCGTCGCTCTGGATGCCAGCCACTTACAGAAGGGGGTACTGGCTGGGCGACTGGACTTTTGCACCCTCCGTGGAGCCACCTGTGGAGCCAGGTAGCTGCAGCCACGTGGTTAGAGCCAGGTGGGTGGGGCAGCCGCTCGCAGAGCGAGAGATGGGCCTCCTGTGAGAGCCCGGATGGTGGAGGCCACCTGCCGGTTCAGGCGGGGCGGGCCGCGCAGCTTTGCAGAAGCGGGTGCTGGCTGCGGGACTGAACTCCTGCACCCGCCGTGGAGCCGCCTGTGGATCCGGGTAGCTGCGGCCCACGTGGTTAAGAGCCAGGCGGGTGGGGCAGCCGCTCGCAGAGCGAGAGTTGGGCCTCCCGGGAGAGCCGCTTGCAGGAGCGGCTGATGTCTGCAGGACTGTACCTCTGTGCCCGCGTGGCCAGCCAAGACCCACTTCTCTGGGACAAACTGTCTCTTCCAATAAACCTACCAGTTCTCGGCTCCTCTCCTCTTAAGGGAATATTGCTAGAAGTTCCTCCATAGGTAGGCTGCGGCTGTTCCAATTGGTCCTTCTGATCCCGTTAAAGTGGAGACATTGGAATTGCTGCTTCCTGGCCAGCCACCATGTTGGATCCCTCCATTTTAATTCTTTTTAATAATCTCTCTTTATTGAAGTAATCTTTCACCTCCTGTATTTCCTCTCTGATTTCACTCTTTTCATAATCTTTTAGTTCATAGAATGTTTATGAATTTTATAAATCTCTTCTCTGACATTTCCTCCACTGTAGTGTCAATGAAGTCAATTGTTGGAGCATTATGGGCTGTTTGGGATGGTTTTTCCTTGATTTTTTATATTGTTTTTATATATACCCACCTATCAGTATAGTTCTGACTTCTTCTTTTAAGTGAATAACTACTATGGAGCTTCTATTTGTTAAGAGCCCTGGGTTGGATGGATGTCTAGATAACAATACTTTAATTCAATGTGTGACTTCTGCTGATCCCAATTCCAGCTCCACTTTAAGAGATACCATCGAGCCCTCTTAACTATAATCACTTCTGACCCTAATCTTATATGATACAACCTTGTAAGAACAAAAACTTATTGCAATTATTCACTGTAATTCCTCAAATTTAGGTATAAACCTATAATAAAGTTCTGGAATAGGTAAAAAAATTAATCTAGTAGTTAAATTTAGTACACTTACTATAAAAGTTATATAGTAAGTAAAATTTCATTAATTATATAAAAATTAATTTAGTAGTTAAATTTAGTAAACTTACTATAACCTTACGTAAGTTCTAAAAGATGAGAGGAAAAAAGTGCAGGCAAATGGGGGAAGGAAAAAACAGAAAAAAAAGTAAGTGAAGGGGGTAATAAAAACTATAAAAGGGTACTTACACAAAGGTAGAAAGGAGAAATAAGTGAATGGGTATTATTTAAGGTAGTAGCAAGAGGATGTATGGGGTAAGAGAAGCAAGAATAAACTAGAGTTAGAAAAACAATGCTAGGAAGATTGGTTCCAATTAATCCTTTATACCATTATATGAAATATATTCAAATGGGTTGGAGATACAATGTTGACTATTGCATTAACAATTATCATTCAAGTTAAGAAGTTATTTATATAATCTAAGTTGACACTACAGTTGTTCATACTCTAGGAGGGTGTAGTTTTGTGAGTGGGCTGATTCTAATGTTGCAGAAGTTCAGGACGCAGACTCTGATGTGCCCCTGTGTTTGCTATTGGTCACCAGTCTATTTGTTCCCCTCTACTAGATTCTTTTTATGGTATTGAAGATCCTGATAGCCTTCTGTGTGTGCAGAACACTGGTTGTGGATTTTCAACAGGTGTTCTGTGGTACAGAGGTGTTCCCCCTGCTGCTTCTGCTCTCTGAGATGCTGTGATGAAGGGTCTCTGATGGTTCACCTGCAATCCAGTTGACATTTCCCCAGGTTATGAATGGTAGGGATTGATTTTCTGTGCTTAATAAGTCTGGTGTAAGTTCCTGCAAGTATCCAAATAATGCCCTGTCGCTTGCCAGTTATGACAAGGGATCAGGCCAGGTACCTATTGTGGATATATCCAACCCTTCCTACTGTGTAGCCTCTGCCAATTTTCCACTGGGTCTGTTAGTCACTGGATATTCAGGGAGCTTACCTCTAATATGGTGCTGCAATCCCAGGGACTATCCCTGGGCTTCCCATGATGCTTCCTCTAAGTACTAGAGGTCAGGGCCTGGTAAATCAACTTTCTTTGGTTTTGGGGCCAAAGGGGCTTCATTGTAGCCTTTGAGTTCAATAAGCCTGTGCAGAGCTTTTCGCCCTTGCCTGGGTCCCAGGAGGCTGAGCAGGGTGAGGTACACTTCCCCAGCCCAGGTCCCCACCAGCTCACTCCATTCATTTGTTCAGGGGGAATTGGACAGTAAGGAGGGACTTTCAGAGATTTATGGCTAGTAGAGGTCCCGCTAGAAGTAATTTCTCTCCAGATTCTTAAAAGAGCCCATTGCAGTGGGGGCTTCCCTCTGGTTTACATTGCAGCTGTGTAGGCAGGGAAAGATGTTGTGCTAATTTAAGAGGACAACTGGTGGGCTGCAGGCTCCAAAAGATGGCTGCACCACACCCTCAGCTTCATCTTTATGATTTGGTTGTAAGTAATTTGTGCTATTTTAACTTTAAAATTTATGAATTTTAAATTTTATTAATCTTTTCAACAGTTTTTCAACAATTCTTTTAAGTGAGTGAGTTTAAAAGAATGTCCATTCCCCACTCTCTCTTTCTCTCTCTGATGTGCCCAACACACACACATAATCCTCAGGTTCAGGTTAGAATGCTCTTGAGTTTTGTTTTCTCCTCTGGTAACCAACTTTTCAGATTCTCCAGGTCTCAGACTATGTAGTTGAGTCTTAGAGCATTTATTTTATCACCCACCTCTAAAGTCTGCTTTTATTCTCTGCCTCCTTTCTTTGTTGTGAGGAAGTCATTGGGACTTGCTGCTCAATTCACTTCTGCCATCTTCCCCCACCTAACATTTTATGAGGCCTAAGCATCTGTGAATTTTTATATCCCTGGGTTGGGGGGTGGCCCTGAAACCAATCATTCATGGACCATATGAGGATTGTACTTCAATCTATAAATTACAATGTACCTTTTTTGGAATAGGAGATTGTAAACTGAAGACTTCAGATAAGCACTGTCAAAAACCATATCTAGTAGTTACATGTGGCTATTTATATTTAAGATGAATAAAATTTAAAAAGTGAACTGTTTAGCACTCTAGCCACATTTCAGGTGCTCAATAACCACATGTTAACTGTGGTTATCATCCTGGACTGCAGATAGAGCACAATTTCATTATTTTAGAATGTTTTGTTGTACAATAATGCTGAAATGAAATGACTAAAAGTTTATGTATCCCCAAAATCCATATGTTAAAAGATAATCCCCAATGAGATGGTATTTGTAAGTAGGATTTACTGTATGTGATTGGATCATGAGAGCAGAGCTCTTATAATAGTTCTTATGATAGTTCTAATCCCATTCATTATAAAATCTCCCTAGCCCCTTGTTCACCATTCAGTGATACAGTGAAAAAACAGCTATTTATGAGGAAGAGGGTCCTCACCACACAGATTGTCCAAAACCTTGATTCTGAACTTCCTGACCTTGAGAAATGTAACAAATAAATTTCTTTTGTTTATAAGCTACCCAGTGTATAGTACATTTGTTATATATAGCAACCTCATGGACTAAGTTAACTGCTCTTGATGCTATCTGGGCCACAGGTTAAGTCAATAAGATCCATTTAAAATGAAAGGGCCAATATTATTTCTTGCACAGATTGCATAAGATTTCTGTCTGGAGTGTGAATACATAGAACTGAAATGGGTCATAAGTGAATCTCTTATCTAATGCCTTTAAAAACAAAGTGTCCCCAGTTCCAAAAAGAAAAACACATGTTTCTTCAGTTCTATTCTCAGTCTGAAGACACTTTGTTGACATCAAATTTTTAGGGGATGAATTATCCTCTAGAAGAGTCCAGGGACAGAGCATGAAGTTTGAGAAGCAGGAATCCATCTAAAGAAGAGAAATTCTTGGAAATGAAGTGGCAAAGAGGATGGGGGCAGTGGAGTACTCTCTGTGGTTTACTCAGAGCAGCAGTTCTCAAAGTATGGTATATGGAACCCTTATAATTTCTGAGATCCTTTCACAGGATCTACAAGGTCAAGACTATTTTTATAACATTACTAAAACATTATTTTCACTGAAATAAAATTCAGCAAGAATGGAGCTACAGTACTAAACTTTAAGAGTAGTTATTGTAATTTTTTTACCACCTCTTAATTACAGAAGAAGAAGAAGTCACTTTCATATAAACATGTCTAGATTGAAGGATTAAAAAATATTAACTACAGTAAGTCTCTAGTCTAGGGTTCACATTTTTTAAAATATCTTATATGATTAAATGGGAAATACACATAAAGCCTACTATATTCCAAATTGGGATGTTTATGTCAATGAAATCATTTTTTAAACAGTATCAGTTTGTTTTATAGAATATCACTTTTACTTGAAAGAATGAATGACAGAAAAACTATGATTATTTAGACTTGCATATCTGACTGACATTAAACTCTATAGACACATCTATAGATTTTAATTCAACAGAATTCCAAAAGTTCAGTGACAATGCTTCAGGATCTGCATTGCAAATAACCTTTAAGAAGTTGACATGTCATTTTAGGTATTCATTCAAAGATGAATACCCACAATTATCCAAAAACATTATTAAAAGTGGTTCCTCTTACATACTGGTATGAGGTTAGCTTTTTTTCATATATTTCAATCAAAATTATAGGTTAAATGCAGAAATAGATACAAAAATACATAGGTCTTCTAACAAAACAGACATGAAAAGGACTTATAAAAATGTGAAGTGTAAAGAAAGTCCAGCTTCCACTTTATTACTTTATTTTTAAAAAATAATTATTTCTCTAAAACTATTTTTCTGTTAACACGCAATAAGTTATTAATTTGCTAGAGAGATTATTTTTAAAAGGTTTAATTTCTAATGTGATAAACATTGATAACTATAATACACATAAACAAAATTACCTTGGGGAGCCTACTTAATTCCTAAGAATTAAGAATTAAGAGATCCTGAAACCAAAATGTTTAAGAACTGCTGACAGCACCTGAGGCAGGACTTTGAAAGACTAAGTGCCTAAAGAGTCTTCAAGGCAAGAGGAGAGAGCTTAAACTAGGCAAAATCCCCAGGTCCCGGGCATGGCTCTCAGGGTCCCAGGATCTAGGAGGGTGTGCAAAGAAGCCTAGAGTTGGGAAATACCTTGGGGATTTCCTCAGCTTTCACTTTTGCTTCTGCCTGGAACTCGTGACAGGGCCCCAGAACCCCTATTGCGGGTAGGATTCATAGAGAAGCCAGTCAAGGAGGCCTTAGGTTCCTGGTTATGAAATACAAAGGGAGGGAGCAGGACTGATTGTCCCCAAACAGGAAGGATCAGAGCCTTGGAGCCCCGAGCCCTTCTCCTACTGCTGTTCGGAGCCCTGGCACTGACCAATACCTGGGCTGGTGAGTGCGAGATGGGGGGCGGGGGGAGGGGGGGAAGACCTCTGCTCAGGAGAGGCAAGGGGACCACGCGGACGCAGAACTCTGGGAAGCCGGGTCTTCTTGACCACAAACCCAGACCCCTCCCCGGGTCCCCATCTCCTGAGTAGTGAGTGGCCCCTTCCCTCACTCCCTTCTGCCTCCCCGCGCTTCCCATCTCACAAGCCCTGGCGCCCTGCTACTTCTTTCCAGGCTTTCTCAGCCTGGAACCCAAGGTCCGGCGCTAGGTCTCAATCGCTCCCCTCCCCCAGGTTCCCATTCTCTAAAGTTTCTCATCACTGCGATGTCGCGACCCCTCCGCGGGGAGCCTCACATCATCGAAATAGGCTACGTAGACGACACGCCATTCTTGCGATTTGAGTTCGACGACGCCTCAATTCGGAGGATGGAGCCACAGACTCCTTGGATAGAGCTGGAGGGGAGGGAGTATTGGCACCGGGAGACACAGTATGCCAGAAGGCTACAGCAGATTTACCGAGAAGGCCTGAAGATTCTGCTCAGCTACTACAACCAGAGCGACGACGGTGAGTGACCTCTGGCCAGGGTTCCAAGTAACGACCCCTCCTCTTCTCCCACTTCCCTGCCAAATCCTCCAGAAACTCCTCGTGGTCTGAGACTCATGGCAGTAGTGTGAGACCCGCTCACCTATGCAAAATGTGGGGCTTTGGTTTCATTTACTGTTTCCAGTATGGAAAAGATCTCACTAGTCACCTCCAGTCGTCTGAAGCGAGGGCGGGAGTAGGCTGGGGGGGAACCTAATCGTGGGACGGGATCAGTGTCTCACACCTTCCAGAGGGTGTACGGGTGCGATGTGGGACCAGACTGGCGCCTCCTCCGTGGGTACTGGCAGTACGCCTATGAAGGCACCGATTACATTGCTCTGAATGAGGACCTACGCTCCTGGACCGTGGCAGACACGGCAGCTCAGATCACCCAGCGCAAGTGGGAGGCCGAGGGAGTGACGGAGACAAACAGGGCCTTCCTGGAATGGGAGTGCTTGGAGACACTCCGCAAGCACCTGGAGAACGGGAAGGAGACGCTGCAGCGCACAGGTATCAGCAGCAGCGGGGCAACTTGGAGATCTCCTGTATATTCCCCCATGCGCCTCTTGCAAGTAAAGAATAGTGTCCTCCCTCTGATCCAAAAGGGTATGAGTTCAACTTGGTTTCCAAAAGCTGTACCAGAGAGTGACTCTAAGAACCACACTTCTCTTAATTACACCAAGGGGTCCTAGGGCTGGAGGGAAGACAATCCTTAAAATAAGTGATCAGTTTCCTTTGACTCTTGCAGCAACCTCGGGCATCCCAGGGTGACTTTCAGGCTTTGTTCTTTATCCCAACCCAATGACTTTGGAAGTCTGAGACCATCTTTTCCTCAGCTGTCAGCCTCCACTCAGTTCAGAATCTAAAGTATTTCTTAGAAGCTTGGAGCATCTTCCTCTTGGCTGTCTCACCCTAATTCTAGAATATAAGAAAAAATAGGAATATTATCCCAGATTCCTGAATCCTGCTTAGTGTCTGGGTGTTGGGCTCCCACCTCACACCTATTGTCCTGTCCATTCTTCAGTGCCCCATGCAAAATGTCCCAATTAACTGAGTCTTATCTGCAGATCTCCCATTGACACATATCACCCACCACCCCATCTCTGACCATGAGGTCACCCTGAGGTGCTGGGCTCTGGGGTTCTACCCTGCGGAGATCACCCTCACTTGGCAACGGGATGGGGAGGACCAAACCCAGGAAATGGAGCTTGTGGAGACCAGGCCTGCAGGGGATGGAAAATTCCAGAAATGGGCAGCTGTGGTGGTATCTTCTGGAGAAGAGCAGAGATACACGTGCCATGTGCAGCATGAGGGGTTGCCTGAGCCCCTCATCCTGAAATGAGGTAAGGAGGGGATGAGGGCACAGGGCCTGTGGTCAGGAAAACAGGAGCCATTCTTTGGAGACCCTCAGCAGGGTCAGAGCTGAAAACTGAGAGCCAGGGTCACTTATCCTCCCTTCCTTTCCCAGAGAGGTCTCCCCAGTTCTCCATCACCTTTGTGGTAATGGTTGCTGGCCTGGTTCTCCTTGGAGCTGTTGCTGCTGTTATGATGTGGAGGAAGAAGAACTCAGGTAGGGTAAGGGTGAGGTCTCAGTTTTCTTTCCCAGTGAGGATTCCAAGCCCCAGGTAGTTTTTCTTGACTTTTTAACTAAGAAGGGTTTGACCCACAAAAGACATGATACTGAAAGCCATAATCTCAAATGTTTAAATCTCCAAAAGATTAAAACTCCAAAACTATAAGTCTGGGGAAAAAATTTAATTTTAATTCACTGAAAGATATTTATTAGCATTTTCAAAAGGGATTTATTTTAGAGACATGACAGAACATGTCAGAAACTACTTTACACCATTAAATATGCAATAACATATTTTTGAATGAATAAATGTGCAGCTATACTAACAACATTTGCACAAGTATAACAATTATGAGCAGATGAACCATATTCCTAAATAGGTGAACAAGCAAAATGTGTGAATACCTATCACTATAGTTAGTAACTGTGTATCCCAGTATTATGCCTGCAGTAATCTGAAATACTGTATTAGACAACCTAAATCTTTTGACAAGGTAAATGAGAATGCACAAGAAATCACCATCAAATATGCAGTTATCAAAAAGAAAGTCAAAACCTTGAGAAGTTTTTGTCTTTCACAAATGTAGATATACAAAAAGGACATTTCTTCATTCATCAAGAAAATTTCAGTGTTTTTACATACATGTAACAATGCTTACACACAGCCAACATTCTGATAATGTACTTTCACAGTCACATTTGCAAAAATCATAAAATAAATTGAGACTCTCTGAAAGCCTTATACAGTTTACACCTCCATTATTAGATGTTGTAAAGATAAAATAAAAAACAGGAAAAATTTTAAATAATGATGATAGTTTTAAATAGTGGGGGGAAACTAAGAAGAACTTGAAATATGAAAAAATTACAGGGACAGAATACAATAATTAATGGACATAGTTCATAAAAACTGATACACTTTCATGATCATTAACTATATTCTGAACTCTCGTATCATAATGAGTAGTGGCTCTTTTTTTCTTTTAAGCTGTGGCTTTTCTTGGAGAATATGTTCACATTCATTTTTTTATGTGGCAATACTGTTTTTGAATTCTTCCAAGATTTGATATACACTGATATAATAATTCCCTATTAATTTTTGCAATCTGCTGTGCAACACTTCTGTGTTGTTTGGGGTGTGTGGAAACCCATCTGTTTGCACTCAAAAACATCACAAGCTGAGCAGAAGCAATACTGGTGATTGTACACCATTAATTAAATGTCTTCATCTCTATATAATTATCAGTAACATCACTGGCTCCTTCAGACAAAAACATCTTTAATTCATTAAAAGCTTCATCACCTGAAGAGATGCCAATGTAGACAAATGACACACTCTTATACATGTTTTTGTTGTAGCTTGTATTGCTTGGCCAATTCCCCAGAATTTGGCTTTCTACCCCCTCTAATATAAATAGCCTTTTTCCCACAAAGGAATTTACAGTGGGAAATCGGCTTTCAGCATTTTAACATTTGGGATTTTAATTGTTGAGGGTTATGATTTTTAAGATTTTAGACTTTAAAGACTTAAATGTTTCAGAATTTAACACATCAGTTTCTAGCATTGAAGATTATGACTTTCAGAATATGATCAGCACAGACTGGGAAGTACCATCCACACACAGATGCTTACCCAGCTTGGAGCCTGTTTATTGATATTTACATTACTGTAAAGCAATGTGAAAATGAAGGACAAATTTATCACCCGGTTATTGTAGTGATACAGACTTATTTCCTAAAAGCCAGAGGTCAGAAGAGAAAGCCCTGCTGAGGTCAGACTTTCAGGAGGACAACTGGTTCAGTTCCTGCATATCTCCTGTCCTGGTGCCTTCTGATCCTTCCCTGGGTCTGCAATTACAGTTCTGGAAACTTCCCTAGGTCTAGGATTTGCACATTCCTGTACACTTTTGGCCTTGTCTCCTCCTAGGTCTCTCACAGGATTTTTTTTTTCTTTGTAAAGGTAGAAAAAGAGAGAGCTATGCTCAGCCTGCCTCTAGGTTTAAAGGGGTCGATCCTAAGACCCTTGGGATAGTATATTTGGGAGTCCATGGGGGAGTTAACCGACTCCATAATCTCTCCTTTAGCCATATCTCCCGTAGGATCTGATAAGTCACTCACAACTTGAAGAGGTGAGTCACTGGAAAGCATGAAGAGGGAAAGAAGGTGGGGCAAAGAGGACATGACTGGGTTACAGGGACTTTCTAAATTTGAACCTTTCAGAATGTTGCCACTTATAGGTACTGATCTGATTTGTTCATGATTACTTTATTCTACAGCAAAACAGCTATCATGGGAAGAATTGAACCATACAAGATTTGTTCACATCTCTCCATCCTGACAATAGTTTCAAGAGCTCCTGATTTCTCATTGTGAAGTTCACATCTGACTATATCTATGTGTCTATGTTGCTATCAGCATAATGTAAGGAAATAAGAACAGTCCATCCCTGATCATCAAGACCCTTGCCCCACACTTATCTGTATTCTCTTCCCCTGTAGACTTTCCTGTTCCAGCAGACACAGGGCTGGGATGCCTCTGTGTGGACAAGTGCATGGAGTATTGCATACATGGCATATGTTAAGGGCATCTGGTGGCAAACCACTCCCCTTGTGCCAGAGGAGATTGGGGGGATTCCTTACATGCTGATACCCCTAGGGTAGGATCCTGTCTGTGTGTTTTGGGGAGAACAAAGAATCTAGTGTGTCCTGAACATAATCATTGAAAAATTAGATGTATGGCCAGACCTGGAGGTATGGCCAGCTTCTAGGTCTGGAGGATACTGAAAAGTTCTGTTACCACCTCAAGAAGGGAGTCACAGACATTCCTGTGCACAGCAATCCCCTGAGTGTCACCTTGACACATGGTCTAAGGTACAGCAGGAGATTGCTATGTATGGCAAGGTGTTACTGATGCTGCTGGTCTGCAAATCATACTTGCAGGAGCAAGAATATAGAAAAGGATTCCCCAGTTATGTTTCTCCCCTGTAAGACTTATTAAATAAGTGAATTCTAAAATCTAGAACCAATATTCTGACACAGTGGGTCTGTAGAGAGACCTGAGAATTGTTTAATAAGCTTTACTCCAGCAATCCTGGTACTCAGACAGGAATTACTGAATTCAGTGATCAGAATAGCTAGAGTGGAGATTCCACATTTAAATATTATTTTTTTTCCTGAGAAAGAATAAGGAATAAATGTTTTGCCAATTATGAGATATGTTGTTGAGAGAAAAAATGCCATTTTCTCTACAGGGGTGCAGCCAAGTGGAAAATACAGAAAGAAGCTCTCAGCTTAGGATAATGTAAATCTCAAATTTTGCTGTCCCAAACCATTTCCCAGACTGATCTCTCACTCACAGCTTGCAATAAAGAATAGAATGCTGGTTTTTCCCATTTAAACATAAAGGATTTTATATATATAATATTGCAATTCATTTTATTTTGGAAAATTCCACAGAACCAACTGGCCTTAAGGCTATACAACCAGAAACAGATCCATAATACCACTCTAGGTCAAGTCCTATTTAGGCTTCACTGTCCCTACTGCCAGACACAGATGCCACTACTCACACCACTGACATCTTGATGCTGGACACTGGACCTGCATGTGCCTAGTGTTGAGATGTTATGCTACTCAAATGTGTATCCACAGCTGAAGACCAAACTGTTTTTATATGAGGAAAAAAAGTAGAGTTCAGACAAAGTAAAGGGAAAAGGTGAAACTACAGTTATCCATTGCCCTTCCTGGATAGTGTTTCCAGAACACAGTGCCGGAAGGAGGATCCCTAAATATCCCAGGTGTCTCACTGAGTTAAAGGTATAGAGTTTATAAATTTGGAGAGGCTAGGATAGCCAGAATATGCAAAATAAAGACACATAGAAAAAATGAAAATAAAAAGCAATAGTAATCCTCAGATAGCACATCTAAGGTTCTCAGCTCATCAGTGAATGAAACTACTCAAAGATAGAGAAAAATAGTAATTCAAAAGGATTACAGGGGATGATGGTATCTAAAGATTCATAGGGTTGGAAATAGTGCCAGTTACCACTAAAATACTGAAAAGCTTTGTAATTTGCTAGCATTGGATAGAGTATTCATAAAGTCTTCTTTTAGTAATGGTGGTTACTTAGTCCTAAACTAAATACTTTCTAATTTTACCCCCAAAAAAAGTGTTAAAAATAAGTCACAAATGAGTCAAATAGCTCCTAATTAGCCTCATTTGTCTCAGTAATAAAAATTCAAGAATACTCATGAAATTCAAGAATTTTTAGCAATAAAACTGGTAAAGTTATAATGTCAGGCATTGATGCCCAGCTAGCACAAAAAGAAAATACTGTGGATAAGACAGAGAAAAGTAATCAATCTAAATTATTCTACTACTGACACAGAAGTTAAAATAAGCAGACATAAACATATTCTACATATTCAGAAAGTTGCAAAAGAGACATGAAAGGTATATTGGCTTAGACAGAGGGTAGTGAAAGGAGGGGCTGTAGGGGTGGGAAGGACAGTGGAATGAATTGGACATTAACCCTATGTACATATATGATTACACGACCAGTGTAATTTTTCATCATGTACAACCAAAAGAATAAAAAGTCACACTCCATTTGGATATGATGTTTCAAAATGCATTATATTGTTATGTATAAATAATTAAAACAAGTTTTTTAAACAAAAGTGTCTGAGATATAAAATACACTAGATGGGATATAGGATTAATGGTAGATTCTGTATTGCAGAAGATCAGAAATCTTGAAAACTTAGAAATATTCCAAAACTACATAAAGTAAAAATCTATTACAACATATTGTACAATGTCAACAACCCAAAGAAAAATAGTTAGAGCTACGGAGAAGAACATCACTGTATCACAATTAAATTAAGTTAGTATAATAATGATATTCCAGATTTATACTTCCTGATAAGACAGGACATATATGATAAGTCATAGAACAACCACTAAGAAAACTATAATGAAATATTATTAAAGGAGTTACCATATTACGATAATAAATATCCATTTAACATATGCATAATCAGTAAAGAAAAATATAGAGAAAAAGACATGAGGAACTGTGGTAGCTTTTCATTACTATGACAATTTCTGAGGAAAAAAAATCTTAAGGAAAGACTTATGATGATTGTAGTTCATAATAATATATTACATATTTCAAAATTGTTGAATAAATTTCACTTTTCTTACTAGAAAAAAATGTTAAACATTTAAAGTGATAATAGTGGATGTCAGGTTACAGGTTAGAGGAAGGCTGCATTTCCAGTTGCTACATAGCACAGGAATCAAATAGCCAGAGGACTGATTCTCAGAAAGGTGGGTATGAGAGATATTGCACTAAATTTCAATATTGAACCATCAAAACCTCTTATGGACTCAGATATTCGGGTACATTGAACAAATGACAAGGAAGAATATGTTATAGTCAAGCCAACGGCAGCAATGACAGTAATGCTATTTCACCATAGAGGGGAGAAATAACAGAGAAAGAAACAAAACAGAAAGATTTAGCATGAAAAAATGCTTTT